TGTATATTTAAAAGTTGTTGTGGCTTCCCACGACAACAAGAAATATGTAAATATGAGGCACTTAAATCTGAAAATTACAAGCGTGGAAAATGACATTTCCGACGTTAAGAGAGTAGTGGTGATGTAATGAATTAGAGGTGAGGTAATAATGCTGGACTAATGTCGCACCTGTACCGGTAGGTGTCGGGCTCTTTGCCCTGCGGAGATGGCGGGCTGGGGGAGACTGCAGCAGCAAAGCCCTCTTGGACGGCAAAACTGTTCTGATAACGGGAGCCAGCACTGGTATCGGCAAAGAGACAGCGGTGGACATGGCCAAGAGAGGTCAGTTTAGTTTAATGGAGCTCTAAAGATGTTATTTTAAAGAACTGGCATCATATGAGAGGTAAAGTATATATAGTAGTAATCCTGTTTTGTGATATTAATGTCCAAGATAATAACAAATATTACAGTATCTTAAATCAAAGCATGATATGTGGTTAACCCATCTGTTTTTCATTAAAAGAACTTAAAGTATGTGATAGTATAAAACAAAATTTATTTTATTTATTTATTTTTGTGACATGGCATAAAAAACCTGACCTTGATTTAAACAACAAAAGTTTAAACAAATATGTGACTCTGGACCACAAAACCAGTCATAATTTTTTTGAAATTGAGATTAATATATCATCTGAAAGCTGAATAAATAAGCTTCCCATTGATGTATGGTTTGTTAGGATAGAACAATATTTGGCCGAGATACAAGAAAAAGAGATAAAAGAAAAATCGATAATTTTGAACCATACAGTGTATTGTTGGCTATTGCTACAAATATACCTGTGCGACTTGTGACTGGTTTTGTGGTCCAGGGTCACATATTGATACTGTTTTAAAGGGGTCTTAGTAAGTTTTTTTTTCTACTTTCTTTAGTGTGTGATGTTACTTTTTGTGCATGAAAAATATCTGCAAAGTTACAACAAGTCCACACCCCATAAAGTCCACTCTAAAAGGAGTTATTCTTTAAGCACAGTTTCTGAACTCCCTCGAATGCCTGGATATGTCCTGAGTTTATTTATTTTTTTAGGAAATGCACGTCACAGTATCCCCTCAAATTTAAAATATTTATGCCCAAGGTTGCTTTAGTAGTGCTTTGTCGCCATGTCCAAGAATCTCATTTCACAGATCTAATAGCTATACTGATACACATGCAGACTGTGGCTATAAGAAACTGTGTGTTTATGACAAAACCTTGTGTGTATTTGATAGTTGACGCAAAAGAGTCTGCTTTATGTGCGTGTGTGCATGCTTAGTGTGTGCTCTCAGAAAACTTTATCAGACGTTTATACTGGCAAGGCTTTTTAAACACATGCAAAGAATAAACTTTTCATGATGACTAATGACTAATTTGCAATGTCTCATGAGCCCCACAGAGATAATAATAATAAAAAGGCAGTGGCTGTTTACACTAAGTGTAAATAGCAATAGAGGCTATTTACAGTAAGTGAAAATAGTGATAGATGCTATTTACACTAAGTGCAAATAGCAATTAATTCCATTTACACAAAGTACAAATAGCTATAGATTCTATTTACAATATGTTAAAATAGCAGGATTTCCTGCTATTTATACTACTTGTTGCAAATAGTGACAATTATCTGCACCTCAGTATTGTAGTACATTATAAAACTGTATGCAATAATAATGTATTGAGTGCAGGCTAAATTATAATGTTAATTCAAATTATAAAATGAATGCCACCTTACAGAGACAATAAAGCCCTCCCTACACCTACCCTAATCCAACCCGATACTTCAACTTTTAGATTATTTCCTTCATTTTTATTAAAAATAAATGCCTTTCCGATGTGATATGAGATTTGAAAGGGGAGAAAAAAAAGTTCGGTAAAAGGCAGATTCGAACCCGGATCGATCATGTCAAAAACGACTTCGGTAGGCACTTTACCATCTACGCCACTACAGCTGTTAATAGACAAAGAGTCTTTTGTAATGTTGACTAGCCCAATCACAAGTCGGTGGGTGGAGTTAGTGTAAATAGCCTCTACCAACAAGGTGGGCTATTTGTACTTAGTGTAAATAGACACTCCTTAATGGATATTTTGTTTGTTGTTGCCATAGTAACCAAGGCATGATCTCTGAAGGCACAGCCCTCTTCTGGAAAAGGGGCAGGCAGCTCATTTGCATTTAAAGAGACACAAATGAAAACAGTATGTTGTTGCTTTCACCCAAAAAGTGATATTCACAGCATGTCCTGTTGTAGATTTGTGCTGAAACTTCACAGACACAATAATGGTATATGGGATGGGTTTGAAAGGGATGATAAATCCACAGGGGGAAGAAAAAACTGGTTTAATTATGCAATCCATCGCTTATCAAACCACAGTGCTTTCACACCTGGCCCCTTGTTTCGGAACCTGGCACGTTTCCCCCCTTAGCTCGGTTCGTTTGGGCATATGTGAACATGGCAATGGCGCTCGGATCCGCGCCAAAACAATCGGTCCGAGATCGCCTGAACAAGGTGGTCTCGGCTCGATTGAAAACAAACTCTGGAGCAGTTCAGTTGTAGTGAGAAAGCAAGAATAAAAAGCAACATTGTAATAATTTTAATCCGTTTCAGAACAGAGCAATCGATCTACAGGTGTGAAAACACCCTAACATGGCCCAGTTTGTAACTAATGACAACTTTGGTTTCTGATTTGTGATCAGTAAGAGAGTGCATGCAAGCCTTGTTGTATTTGTTGAAGGCTTGATGGCTGCAGAAAAGCATTGCATCGTGCCAAGATACAACATAATGACCATTTATGAACCATTGTTCAGGTGCAAGGGTCATCCTGGCTTGCAGAGACATGGGCAGAGCCAACAAAGCAGCAGATGAGGTCAGAAAGAGGAGTGGAAATGGCAACGTGGTTGTGAAGATGCTGGATCTGGCCTCCTTGCAGTCTGTCCGAGCTCTGGCCAAAGATGTACAGCAGACTGAAGAGAGATTGGATATTCTCATTAATAATGCTGGTAAGGAATGTCAGCCAGATTGTAATGCATCTGCATGAACACATGGTTAATATCTATG